TACAATTTTTTTGGTAATTTATCGTTAATCCGTCGTTAAATGAAATTAGAGACATTTTTTTCCGTTTAACTATAGTATTTGTCCGTCGCTATTTTATGTTAGTGGGGACTAAAAGGTAGGGGTGTTAATAGATATTTAAAAACCAACTAAACCGACCGAACCGTATCGCACATAACCAATTTTTAGGTTTCTTTAATATAACCGTATATTTTTATATAAATCTATAACCGTGCCGATAATTAGGATAGGTTTTTTATTTTATGAAAATAAAATCGAAAAAATACCGAACCGTACCGAATAAATTTACATGAAAAAATATATTTATATATTATGTTTAAAAAAATAAAACACTAATTTTTTCCTTGGGCCTTAGAATTATGAAAATGGTTACAAGGCAACAAGTAATTAAACTCAAAATCCTAATTCCCAAACCTATTATATTACTCTGATTGAAACTAAACTATTTCCAGCATATTCACAAGCAAGACACAAGGTATTCTAGCTATTATGAGTAGCAAACTACAATATATTGAATATGTCTCATTTTGTATGATTTAAATTTATATTTTCGAATATTTATTCTTCTATAGACTTTATTCTTGAGTCTCAACTTGCTTAATATCTTTCCACTCGTGTGATTTATATTTTCTCTGTCTTTGCTTAGTTTCTTTTACACTTGATAGATCTACACCCTGGCCATTTTTTATGTTTTCTTAATTCATCACCCTTTAAATAGTAAAAATGTTTAGAGAGTTTTGGTAAGTCCTTTAAAAGTCCGTTTTTATTGAATTTTGCTTCTACTAGTGACTTTTAAATGATATTTAAAAAAATACCGAAAATTAATCGAACCGTACCGATACCGAAGAAAAACCTTGATAAAGTTTTTAAAATTCTAATTTTGGTTATACATAATAGAATAACTAAAAAATTAGTATGATACAAATTTTATAAAATAATCGGTTGAACCGAACCATTGATACCCCATCTAAAAGGAAAATCCAAGGGGAAAACCTCAAGGGAAAACCATGAAACGTACAAGCAGTGAAATGTGATTATGCCGGAAAAGTCGAGGAGGAGAAAGAAATGGTGATATCATGGCTCTTAAATATTTTAATGCAGTAGACCATGGTATAGGTTAAACGTGTTTTAGTTGAGATGATTAATACTAGCATTTATTGGCTGAGTTGACAAAAGAAACTCATTTGTATGAATCCAGTAATTGACCTTGAGAATAAGTTAAATCTATTGTTTTGTAACCATAGACTCTAGTCTATATATAGTCCCACAATGTGAATCGTCATTCTTCTAATAATGGTTGTATACACCTTAATTATTATATTCGATTAGGTTTAGCCAGATAAAAATAATCATCAAATATTTTTTACAAATACAAATAAATCATCTAATATTTTTTTATCTCTCCTAGTTAGAAACTGAGGTTCAATCCAAAAATAAAATGGAGTAGTAAATTTCGCAAAATTTATTTTCTTTAGATTTTCACGTTGATGTAGATAAACTTTAATTAGAGTGTGAGCTTGACACTTACTTAATGCGTTTAATTATTATGAAGCATACATGTGTAAATCTCAAATTAAAACCGGCTTAACTAGCACAAGGTTTTAATTTGTAGCCAGATTTTGCAGTAAAAATAGACTAATATAAATAAGACTTATTTCATGATAAAGTACCTTCATGTCTCACCCCAAAGTATAATAATAGTTCCAAAAGCAAATGTAAAGATGAGTGGATCCACACAAAAGGAATATCACGTTTAATTTTAATTTCCATTCCCACGTATATATAGGGCAGCACTACCATATCTTTGGAATTAGATCTCCATTTTGTTGCTACTTTTGGACCCTACTTGTTGAAACTTTGATTTATCCCTTTTTTCTGTTTCCATATTTGTCTAAAGTCTTAACTACAAGATGTCATTTAAGTAATCATATACTTCTTCCGAAAAGTAGCTCCATGAAGCAATAAAAATAAACGAGTAATATATTTAAGGTAATATTGTCACTGACACAAGTCTATGGTAACAATACACCTTGGATTTACGCCCGCATGAATTTGTCTTTTCGAATATGCCACATTGATCCCCAAAAATATATGTATCGTATGAAATTATATTATGCATTATAAAGCTCTTCACTTTCGTCTTTCATTTCAATGAGGGGTTTGCCTATAATAATTTGTGCACCCCTTTTTCAAAAGCTTGACAACATAAAAGCCTGTCAAACCTGCTTGACCCGCCCGCGGTCATGGGTGCCACAAATATATACTTTATCGACTTCCCTTCAATTCCAGCACGATACATAAAGAAAAATCTAAAAGCGCACCTTTTAAAAAAGAAAAAAAAAAGTTTTCCCATCAAAATAGGCCGAAGTTGAATGATGATATCGGAATTTAATCTTTTCTCATTTAAATTTAAAGCAAGTCATTTATGTTTATTTTACATTCTCTTAAAAAAACTTATATTTGAAAAGATAGGAACCTTAGTGCAATAAACTATAGGAGGCTATTGGATTCAAAGTCGTAATATAAGTTTCCAACTTTGACCTTTAAGCCACCGACGTACATTAGATGATATTCGAACTCTGTATTTACTCATTTTTGTGGAGCTTGTTCTAAAATGTGGAAAAGGTTGCATTTTCAATCAATTACACTGGATCTTGTCTGCAGATAGAGCTAGAGAATTATAGAAAGAACCAGTCTTTTGATTAGTCTAAACCCTAAAGGAAAAGGGAAAGTGATAAGAAGATAAATTTGTAGTAAATTTGTAGTATATATAGTTTAAAAATAATTATCTTAAATTATTTGTTATTTTAAAAGTTCAAGATAAAATTAATTTATCTCATTTTATCTGTAATAGTACTTGTTCTTGAAGATGAATATGACACATAAATAGAGTAAATATTCAATGGAGGGAGATTATATCTTAAGATATAAATAATGATAAATAGTAAAAAAATCTCCTAATTAATATTTTTTTAAGATGCGTGTAAAAAAGAAACACGGCAAATTATTTGAGATGGAGGAGTAAATTTTTTTATAAACCACTATAGTTTATAAACCACTATAGGAGTAAATTTGAGATGGATGCCTAATTAGCATCCGTAGGTACTACTTAATTTCTAGTAACATGTATTACTTATATTCAAACGCACAACGAATACAATCTTTGTCAACTGTATTCCTTCGCACAACAAATATAATGTGCATCAACTACAATTGTATTCATTTTTACTACGAATACAATATGTATCTATTGTATAACCAAAACCTCAAGACCTCCACTAACTACGAATTCAATATGTATCTATTCATTTTACTTTGTAGGAAAATAAAATATTCTGGTTGAGAGTCAAACTCAAGACCTCCACTAACTAAGTGGGCGCTCTAACCAACTGAGCTACGAAAGCTTATTGCTCTCTTATTTTAATTCAAAACAATTAATCTCTTATTTCATGAATTTGCTAAAAAATTTAAATATAGCTATGAATGACAAATTTGCTAAGTATAATTATGAATAATAAATACAATATAAATATTTGATGTGTCTGCGTAATTTTTACTTTTACAAAGTGCATGCATGAGAGGAGAGGAAAAGACAGCCATGCTCTGTTTGACTTGCTTCAAACTTCAAATACAAGAAAGGAACCGTTCACGGGATTTAGATTTCTTTCATTAATACTGGGAAAGTGGTGTGGAAACTATAGCAACAAAAGAAGATACAATCAAACGATCCAAAAGTTAAGGCTGGTTAAATTAAAAACTCCTAGCTTGTTCAATTTCGCTACTCATTTTACATTTGTTATCATTCAAAGTTAAAAAGTAAGTAAATTTGGTCGAATCTTTTACAGCTTATTTGGATGGTTATTATCTATTGTATTGTATCGCACTATTACTTTAAATGTAATATTTATTTTGATTGTTACTTAAATTTTATTATATACTCGATTACTCCCTCCGTTCTAGTTTATGTGAACCTATTTCCTTTTTGGTCCGTCCCAAAAAGAATGACCCCTTTCTAAATTTGGAAACAATTTAGCTTAAACTTCTAATTCTACCCTTAATGAGAAGCTTTTATAACCACACCAATACTCTGGACCCTTTTTGACTTATTTAGGACTACAAATTCTAAAAGTCTTCATTTTTTATTAAACTCCGTGCCCAGTCAAACAGGTTCACATAAATTGGAACGGAGAGAGTAGTATTGTTAAATCCATCATTACGTAACGACGAAAAATATCACTTTATGGAACGATCGATTAGTTGTGGTCGCATCGTTATCTTACTTTCTTTATCTCATCTTGCCCTTCCTTATTACTCCATACGGTCTACAATAAGTGACCAATTTACCTTTGGCACACCCATTTAAGAAATATGAACTCCTAGAGAAAAAAAATGTATAGATTAATTAATTGTTACCTTGACATATTGGAATACATAAATAAGAGCAAATTTTGAAAAAATAAAATTAATTCCTTCTTGATTATGTATGTAGACATGTAATTTTTGACTCTCCCCGAGATTTTACTCTTTTAGCTTTTAGATATTTAGTTTAGGCCTAATATTGTTATTTTACCTAGTTTTAACTCCTTTACTTTATTTTAAGAACAAAAATTAAAAATTACAAAAATAGTTCCATATTTCTCTATTTAATTCACGTATTAGATATTTTTAGAAAGATATGTTACTTTGAACCTATTTTATTTTAATATAATCTCTGAAAATACCAAAAATAGTTTCAACTTTAACTTTTAGTTCTATTTCAAATATAATAGTTTATTATAATAATTTCAACTTTAATTTTTAGTTTACTTGTATTTTCTTATAAGTATTTTTAAAAGTAGATTAAACTTTTAGCCTTTTCTTAGCCCAATTATATAGAATTTTTAGCCCAAATATGAAGCCCAAATCTTGTTAGCCCATACCACATTTCCCTTAAGGAGATAAAAAGTTCAAACGTAGACCCCATTAAGGAGAATACACAATAATCAAACCCAAGACCCTAGACCTAGAGGAACTAACGCCTGAAGATACAGAACACTGTAACATCCCTTCTTCTTCTTCCTAATCTCAAACACCATACGACCCCCCCCCCCCCCCCTTGTTCCTCATCATCTTCTTCTAACCTAGAACAGAACTAAGACAAGAGAACAAGAAAAATCCTAGAGCCCTAGGACCCAAAAACGATCAGCAGCCATCAGCACAAAAAGAAGCCAGCCGCGACCTGCTTCTTCACCTCACTTAAACGACCATCACTCCACCATTTCTACCACCCGAACTCACTGGGAAAAGGGACAGCAGTAGCCGCTGTTCGTTATTAACTCGCCGGAGTTTCAGTGATTTAATCGTTCACCCTTTGGTTGTTGTTGTAAACCGCCGCCGACCACTCTCAACACACTCATCTCCACCCAACTCCACCCCCACCAGAACTGGCCGGAAATCCGGTGAAAATGTCACCCAACCAGTCGCCGCTTACTCCGCCCAACAACCCCTCCTGGTTCTTTCACCTCACCGCCCAAAGACACACACACACTAACAGAAGCACAAAACGGGCAAGGGGGATGGGGAATGGACTGATTTGAGCATTGCAATAACAAAGTACCAAAAAATATTTTACTTTCTTTTGATTCAATGTCATTTTGAAAAAAATCAAAAATAGAAACAAAGTTGGAGTCACTTTATTATCGGAAGTTCATTGCTTGATTTTGTTTGGGTCTGAATCCGTGTTTGCTTGAAGTTTCTGATGCCGATTCGAGGTCCGTTGTTGAATTTTGGTTACTGTTCCGTTGAAGTTTCGTTAAGCGTTTTCAGATTTCATTTGGAAAGAAAAAGGTCTGTCTCTTAACTTTTTCTTGATTAATATAATTTTTGATGTTTTATGCACTTATATGAGGATGAATGAAGTATGCTGCTATTTTCTAATTTAGCCTTTGTGTTTAGTTGATAATTATGTCACTATTATCTTGGATTTGCTTGATAAAATTATGGCAATCTAGCCCGAAATCTGAAACAAACAACGAATTGAGCTCAGGTTGATAAAATTTGAAATTGATCGTGGGAAAATGATACTACCAGCCCTTAAAAATTAAATCCTGTCCAGATGTTGTAGAATATAGGTTTGGTTCTGTGAATGAATAAAAAAAGCGAGTAGGTAATGAATTTTATTGCTTTATTTAGTTTCGTTTGTTTCACTTTATTTTGTCACGTTGTGCGTTAGTAGCATATTTAAGCCGTCATCACCTGGGTAGGAAAACTTTAGAATTTTATTAGTTTTGAGGCGAAAGGTCGTTCCCTTAGTTAAATTTAACGGGGAAATACCCCGAAGGATTTGTATATATTTTATCCGGGGTATGCCCCGAAGTACATGTAAATGAAGGCTAGAGATTGGATGACGTGAGGAAGCGTAGAATAGAACTTTAATATTTTCTTTTATTTATTTTTATCTTTTTAGGTGGGGGCGACCTCTAGCCTCTTGTGTTTTTATTTTGTTTTTGTGTTTTTACCTCAATTGAATATTTTAAAAGCCGACTAGATCAAGTATGCAACTGTACTAGTTACGGGACTTGGGGAGTGCTTAACACCTTCTCCCCGAGTCAAATGAACCCCCTTACCCAAATCTCTAGTGTGGACTTAGTTTTGGAGTCCCAAGTGTTTTAAAGGAAATTTTTTTTTTTTAAAAACGGTGACCTGGCACACCGAAATCAATGTCAGGTAGCAAATCTGAGTTAATCCTTTTGAACACTATCTTTTGTCACTTTCAAAATTGAAAAACCCTTTTGAGCTTTACTAAATCTTTTTATTTATTTTAAGAGGGTTAAGTGAGGTTTGTTAAAAAAGAGGTGTGACATCTCTGGCGACTCTACTGGAGAGTTGCAGGTTCGAGCTATTATTTGATCTTGTTGGCTTTTTAGGATGTTCGGTTGAGGTTTTTATGTGTTTTGTTTGCTTTATTTGATTTTTATTTTTATTTTATTATTTGCTAGTTGCTTATTTGTTTACAGTTTTTCCTTTATGTGTTACTGCTTTATAAATTGTCATCATTTGCATAACCCCGAGTCTTCTTTCTGCAACAAGTCTTCCGGAGTACGTTTGAGCGTACACGGCCTTTTTGTGAGTCACCCATGTCTTTAGGGGGTGGGGTGGGGCGTGGAGTGGGCGGACAGCTAGAGCAGCCGCCATCGACCACGTGTCGCCCCGAANATGTCTTTAGGGGGGTGGCGTGGGAGCGTTGAGTGGGCGGACAGCTAGAGCAGCCACGATCGACCACGTGCTGCCCCGAATTGCCTTGTCTAGTGAACCCCAAACGTAGGTCAGCCTTTAGGTCATGCTTATTTGTATCGTATCATTTAAACCTAGCAAGGTTCGGTCCTAGGCACCGTATCCCGTTGTAGGAAGCCTATCCAAATTTTGTCAAAAATGGGCCCATGGCCCAAACAAATATTCAATCATCCCTATGTGATACATGTTGCATCTTTGAGGGTAAAAAGGTCATTTGGCGGACCTATGTTTGGGAAAGAAGGGTGAAAGATGAAGCGAGTAGGGCCTAGTTATATTTTTCTTTCACAACTTTTTCAAGAAAAAGACAAAAACAAATGAGAAAATGAAAAATCCAAAAAGATTTTGCATTTTTCCATCATTTTTCAAAAATAAAAAAAAAGAGAGAAAATGAAAAATCCAAAAAGATTTTGCACTCTCCCATCATTTTTCAAAAATCAAAAAAAAAAGAAGAGAAAATGAAAAATCCAAAAAGATTTTGCACTCTCCCATCATTTTTCAAAAATCAAAAAAAAAAGAAGAGAAAATGAAAAATCCAAAAAGATTTTGCACTCTCCCATCATTTTTCAAAAAAAAAAAATGAAAAATCCAAAAAGATTTTGCACTTTCCCATCATTTTTCAAAAGACAAAAATGAGAAAACGAAAATCCAAAAAAAAAAAAAAAACGATTTGCACTTTCCCATAATTTTCCAAAAAATAAATAAATATTTTACATCATTTTTCAAAAAGACAAAAAAATATATTTTTTCCAAATTAGTGTCATTTTTTAAGCTTTCTCCCATGTCCAATCTTCCCGAACTACGCGAACCTGATTCTCGTCTTTCGGAACGTGATACATAGGCAACCCACATAGGGTCTGGTCTTTCTTAGTAAGTCTTAGGTTCTTGGCTTTGCGGGGTCGTAGCCAAATCTTGCAAGTTTAGCCACGTTCGACCACATCGGTCGTTTTTGCAAAATAGGCATATTTTTGCAAACGTGGTTTGTTTTCCCATGTCTTAGAGTCCTAAGTTCACAACAAGGTGTCCTCTCACTTTTAAGGTCCACTCCTGTTGAATTTGCATAATTAGTCATTTTTCGGCCACATAGGCCATTTCTGCAAAGTGGGTCATTTTTGCAAAGCAGTTTGAGGGACCACGATTCCCGAGAGTTTATGGGACTTCGTGAGGTGTTTCCATGTTTTAGAGGTCATCCTAATTGAGTTTTTATTTTTAACCACCTTTTTTCCACGTTGGCCATTTTGCAGAAATAACCTCACTCGTGCCTTGCATATGCCCAATAGGAAGCATTATGGTCTCACGTAGTGTCTCGAGTCATTAACTCTATTTGGTCTTATTTTTCTCATTCAGGTGTGGATCCATGTACCAGGACTCAAGCATGACAGATACTCAGGACCACTACATTCAGGAGTTGTTTGGGGAGCTTTTTTATGTTTTGAGTCTATTGTTCATGTTTTACTTTCTAGTCATGTACAGTAGTATTCAGTCATTTAGTTGGTGTCAGAGCTATCGTAGTATAGTTTAGTTTGTCGAGTCTCTCATTATCGTACTTCCTGTTTTGTATTTGAAAACCGAAAAAAGTTATAAATGAAAAATCCAAAAAGATTTTTGTGTCTTAGTTTATTTGTCCATTACTTTTTCAGAACTACGCTTGATCTGATTCATGAGGGACATGATATGTAGGCAACCTACATAGGGTTGGATCAAATCATTTTTAAAAGTCAAATTTAAAAAAAAGGAAAAAAGGAAAGGAAAAAAAATCAAATTGCGGGACATGAGAAATGAGAGAAAAGAAAAGAGCGATAATCAGAAAGAAAAGAGGGGGAAAGAAATGAAAAACCAAGCGTGTTAGAAAGCAAGACGAAGATGGATATGGGGCAAAAAGAGTGAAATTGGGATGATGCCATATGACCTTCGTTCCCTCGAAGCTATTCTAGGACCATTAACTGTGACTAGGGGGCATTGCACGCAATGTGATATTTCTACCTGATAAATGCTCTAACGCTAACATGTTGGCTTTGTTTTGCTCCTCTTTGTTACTTTCATTGTTATTATAAAAGAGGGTGGTTAGTTTGTGACACTTTGGTGATTCATCCATACAACACAAAGTCAAAAGCAAGGAAGCCATGGCTAGCAAAGACTTGGATACAGGCGTTGTCGATCCGCCTAAGGAGATACTGAGTTGAAAGAAGAGGTCCTAAGGTTGAAAGAACAGATGGTCAGAATGTACCAAGCCTGGATTAGTGGGCGTTCTCCATCATTATTTCCCACTAACTACTCTGAAAGCCTCGTCACCATTCCGCCATTGTCACAAATCCAGATTTTTGCTGGTACTGATGTTTCCCAAACTTTCCATGCTCCACCAGCCAAAATAACCGCATACCCTATTCTGACATCTGCTCCTATTTTTGTAGCCCCTCCTCGAGCTACCCTTCATCGATCTTCTAATGAACATGCGTTCAAAGTCCCTGATGCCCAACACTATGCTCCAATACCCCTTTCAAAGTCTCAGATCCATACTCTTACGCTCTTCATCTTAAGCCTCCCGGTGAAGCTGAAAATCCTGCTAAGACAGTGAAGCAAGATGAGATATCCAGAAAGCTGAAAGGTATAGGACAATCCTTAAAGAACATGCAAAGGATGGGAAATAACATGTCTTACAATCACTTGTGTATGTTTCCGGATATTCGTCTGCCTGCAGGGTTTAAAATGCCAAAGTTTAACTTATATGATGGGCGTGGAAATCCAGTAGCCCATTTGAGGGGTTACTACAATAAAATAAAAAGTGTTTGCGGGAAAGATGAATTGTTGATGGCGTATTTCAGTGAGAGTTTGAGTAGGGTAGCCTTGGAGTGGTATACTCGTCAAGATGTCAGTAAGTGGCATGCATGGGGTGACATGGTTCAAGATTTTGTTCAGCACTATCAGTACAATGTAGACATTATCCCAGACCACTCCTCCCTATCTCAGATGGGAAAGAAACCCAAGAAAGGTTTTAGGGAGTTTTGGTTCAGATGGAATGAACAAGTTGCTCGGGTCAGTTCTCCGATTGATAGAAAAGATGTTGCTGAGTCCTGTCAACGACATGATCCAGTGGACAACCCTGCTAAATGCTTTCAGCCTCAATACCGACCCCATGAATACCCCCGAGCTCCATATAATCTACCCTAGTATTATCTTCCGAACACTGTCTGGTCATCTGTACAACCACTAGGTTACTCCTTGGGGCGAGCATCAGTATCCCAAAATCCTCGTGCGCCTTCACAGCATTTTCAGGAACCCTATAACCCTAGAAAACATAGGCATGGAGGGAAACAAAGGCAGAAAGATAATTTCAGGCCAATCGGAGAATCCTACACAAGTTGTTTAAAAAGTTAAAACATTCTGGCCTGATTGAGCCACTCCTCTGCTACACTCCGGACCCATATGCAAAAGGTTTTGATCTCGCTGTACGGTGCATGTACCACTCTAATGTCCAAGGTCACATCATTGAAGATTGTCGTGCTTTGAAAAGGGAGATAGAAAGAGTGATTCAAGAAGGGATAATTGTGGTCCAAGGCAGTAGTACCCCAAGTGTCACACATAATCCTCTATATGTACATGACAACGCACAAATTGTTGGGATGGTTTGCAATGACAACGAATGTGCAGGTTCCTTCAAGTCCTTTGGTGAGTCATTTGCGGCAAGATCTCTAAGGGGGTTAGTCGCCAATTCAACAGTCAGTGCTGAGGGAAGTTTGTTCAAAGGAGTCAATGAGCCATGTGGTGAAGGCAATGCGATTGAAGTTGGTGAAGGTCCCAATAATTTTGATGTGCAACTCAGTAGCTAAGATCTCGAGCTTGGTAATTAGAAAGCACCTCATATCCTCGTAGGGAAGGAGTCTTGGCAGTTTATTTTGGCATCTTTTCTGCTATCTAGTTATTTCAGGGTTGTAACCCAGATTTTATCTTGTTTGCTCTGGTGATTCAAACCCTTCTATCCTCTTTTGCCTATCTCTAGGAGTTTTGTTAGTTAGTTTTGTGTCTCTAAGTCTGTCATCTAGAGTTATTTTAGGTCTTTAATATAGATCTCATTCTGCTGTTCAAACCCTTCCATCCTTTGATCAAATGAGATTTTTTTTGTTATCTGCAGTCTTCGTTTAATTTCTTTTCTTGTATATAGTTCTCTCCAGGCCAGTTCTGGTGACATGACATGCATGCAGAGTTTTTAGCCAGATTTTGAAAGCCAATCTAATCATGGAATAATGAAACATAGTTTTGAATATGATAAAAAGATGCATTTGAGGAAACGAGTAAAGATTCATGCATTCTTAGATAGCTTGAAGCTTGAATTGAGTGAAACTGAGGCAGTTAGTCTGGGAAATCAAGAGGTTGATAAGAGCATACAACAAGGAAATGTCTCCCGAATAGTTTGAGGTAGATCATTCAGTGTTGAAATGCATTCTTCCACATCAAGGCAAGGTTGAGTCAAGTCTGCTTCGAATTGGCAAAGATCATTCATTGGGACAAAGGTATTTCCCATCGACACTTTCTGTTTGCGTTGATGCCATCAAGAGATATTATATGTGAGTTCTTTGCTCATTTTCAGTTGCATTTTGCACTTGGCATATTCAAAGTTGAAATGACGAAGGCATTTTGTTCCGCTACCCAAACACTTACATCATTTGCTACCCGTTTTGAGCCTTATTTAGTTTCTTTTATAACCCTCTTTTGGAATCAGGAGTAGAATTAGAGAATGAAAAAATGAAAATGAAAAAAAAGAGAAAAGAAAAAAAAAAAGAAAAGAAAGAAAGAAAAAATGAAAAAAAAAAGAGAAAAGAAAAAAGAAAAGCTACAAAAACAAACAACTTTTGTTTGAACTACGTTCGACCTGATTCCTTTTAAGGATACGTAGGCAGCCTTACACGGTTCGGTCCCATCAAAGTAAAATCCAAAATTCCCCAGACCCAAAGAAACTGGGGCAAAAGTTTTGGTTTTGCAAAAGATCTGATTCCAAAAGTTATAATTTTGAACCCCTTTTCATCTTAAATTATTTTGAGCCTTCATGTCACCCTTTATTTCTAACCCTGTCCAAAAGCCTACATTACGGTCCAAAGAAAGACCTTTCGATCAATCTTTGAGGATGCCAAGTAAAGCGAGATAGAGGTACAATTTACATCATGGGTAATACTTTGTTCATGGGCACAAGAGAGAAAATATAAAATGAGAGAGTCTTCTTGGTGAAAACCTTCACGGGCACCGTAAGGCGATAGTGAGCCGAGAGAAAATTTAAAATGAGAGAGTCTTATTGGTGAAAACCCTCATGGGCACCATAAGGTGATAGTGAGCCAAGAGAAAATTTAAAATGAGAGAATCTTATTGGTGAAAACCCTTACGGGCACCGGAAGGCGATGGTGAGTTGAGAGATGAACAAATGAGAAAGGCTTATTGGTGAAAACCCTTCGGGGCATTACAAGTCGAATGAGGCTCATGAATTTACAGAGAAATTGGATCAGTGAAAGCCCAGTTATTGAAGTATGAAGACATGACATGAACTGAAAGTATGATTGGTTGGACGGATTAGGCTGATCAATCCGAAATGCATGTCATGAACATTGGCGCTGGCCGCTTCCCTCAGATAAGTCTTCTTCTTCCCATTCTTCTTCACATAGTCATTTGTGTTCAAAATTTTCCTTTGTTCCTTTTGTCAAAAATCATTTCACTTTGCTCTTTAAGTATATCTTTATGAGTCTTTTCGAGTTAGCCTTGTTGAACAAGCAGGAAAGGATTCCAAAGCCTACTACCAACTTCTAAATTGCACAAAGCGGTGTTCGGCCAGACACATCACAATTGACATGATTTAGAATAAGAAGTATATTGACAACTGAGGTTCAGGCAATCAAGTGAATCTTGAATTTTGAGAAAATACAAGGACTCAACAACTTTCAAAACGAAGACACAATGCAACAAGTGAGTGTAAGAGATTCAGGTCATCCGGAGGTTTTGTGGTCCAGTTCCAATCAAAGGTCAAACAACTCATTGCTGGCTAGGAGTAGTTGATCAGAATGAAGCGCAGCAGCGGCAGAAGCATACACCCAGCAATGATGCCACAAACTAACTACCACGTTTTCAAACTAGCAAAATTTTATTTATCTGAAACAGGGGCAAGAAAATTTGTTAATCCACAGGGACCCTCCCATGAAGAAGGCATGGTTCAGGAGCAAGAAATTCTGTGCAAGATCCTCCAAGAAGAGAGCATGGCTCAGGTAAGTTCATTCTCGGCTTTTCAGGACCCTCTTGGATAATGGAATTTAGTTTTTAAGTTTTCAAGACCCCCCTGGATAATGGGATTTAATTTTTAAAAAGATTCTCAGGACCCTCCTAGATAATGAAATTTAATATAAAATTCTCAGGACCCTCCTGGATTATGGGATTTAATTTTAAAAGTTCTCAGGACCCTCCTGGATAATGAGATTTAATTTTAAAAGTTCTCAGGACCCTCTTGGATAATGACATTTCATTTAAAATTCTCAGGACCCTCTTGGATAATGGAATTTAGTTTTTAAGTTTTCAGAACCCTCCTGGATAATGAGATTTAGTTTTTAAGTTCTCAGAACCCTCCTGGATAATGGGATTTAA